TCATGTATAGTAGTCATCTTCTTTGATTATTGTTCTTAGGCATGTGTATGATACACTCACAATCCCATAGGTTTTAAATTTCAATGTACTATATACATTTGAATATGTTTAGAGTTTGCCTCCACTCCTACTATCCTTTGTGTGTGTTCATTTGCTCTAGGTTTCTCAGGTGTTTTGATTCCCCATGTCCCCTTGTCCTGATTCTACCTCGCTTGAATTAAATGTGAGGTCATATTTCTCTATTCAGTGTCCATTCTGTGAACAATCAATGTGCCAACTTCGAACTCCAGTCCTTCAAAGATGATTTGTGGTGTTCATCCTTTGGAAAGTAGCTGGTGTTAAGTTACATATAAAAGCTGTACTCCATTCCATATGTTAAGATATTTTTTATATTAATCTTGAAAATTTGTTTTATCTTTACAGAAAACAACTAAGTATGAAGAAAATGAAGAGCAAATTTGAGGTATTAAAGAGACAAAGAATAGAAAAACATTTAAAGGATTCTAATGAAAACGATGAAGGAAAAAATAATGCGCCAGCTGGTTCTGATGTTAAGGCAAGCAAAGTACCAAATGATAGCTTTCATAGCTTGCTTAAGGAAACCATTGAGAATATGTCAGAGATGCTGTCTTTATGCCTCAAAAATGTTAATATAATTGAATCTAAATGGAATGTAGGTCAGTATTCTCAAGTAGCAACAGAAAAAGCTGGAAAACATGTGTTGAAACAGCTACATGCCATACAGAATAACTTCAAAATAATGGAGAATGAATTGGAAAGCAATATTAGGCTTTATATTGCTGGAATGTGTAAAACAGAGTCTATAGGTAATGTTGATGCACAAACTGAGGAGAGTGTTGCACGCACTAAATCTGCCTCCAGAATTAATGAAAGTGTGGAAAGTGATGTAAAAATTGAGCAAAAGGAGACATTAGCTGTGGTTTGTGAAAATGAAAACTCTGTTATATGTAGAGATAGTGAGATGACAAATCGTAGCAGTAAGAGGAGCCAAAGAAAGACCTCTGAATGTGAAGAGAGTGATGCTCAAAAAATGAACGATATTGGCAAAAGTTCCAGCACTGTACGTGCAAATGATGAAGAAAGAGGTAAAGACACACCAATGGAGGTTGATGATAGCCAAGACTCCAGTAAGGCTCTATTTAGATCTGAGGATGAACACTCTCTTCCAGATCTTCAAAATGCTATAGATGGAATTTTAAGTGATAGGAGCAATGATATTGATGGTGCTCTAGAAGAAATTGATGAGAACAATGATATTGATAACACTCTTGAAGGTGGAATTGATGGCAGAGTAGATTTTGATAAACTAATTACAGTTGAAAAAGAAAATGCTAGGAAAAGCACAAGGCTCACAAGATCTACCACAGAGAAAGAAAATAAGAAAGATGATGGGGAATTGGAGACCATGGATAAAAGAAGGAAGAGCCAGAAGGAAAAAGACTGTGATGATAGAGACGGCACTAAAGATCATAGCGAGGATGAAGATGATGTCAAGAAGTCCAGATTTTCAAAGAGGCTGAGGAAAATAAACAGAGAATCTGTCAGGGAATCTATTGATGATGATGATTCTGAAGCAGAACTTCAGAAAAGTTCTAGCACTAAAACTTTAAGAAAATCTAGTAGGAGAAAGTTGAGTAAAAGTGAAAAAGCTGAGAGTGATAATGAAGAAATAGTAAAAGAAGAAAATAAAAGGAGCACTAAGAGAGTTGATCAGTCTGCAAGAAATGGAATGCTAGACAGTGGAGAGAGTGAAGAAGAAAGATCTGAGAAATTGGATAAAGTTGATTCAAGAAAAAAGAGATCTTTAAGGAGACAAGATGATGGTGATAGCAGTATGAAAGAGTGTGACGATGAGGCTTGTGATGAAGAAGCCGTGAAAGAAAAAGAGAAAGAGGGTGTTGGTCGTATAAGAGTTAAGAAGGATTTAATGAAAATTGATGGGGATGATGATGGTACAAAAGATGAAAAAAAAATAAAAGAAGAGGATGTTGGTTGTATAAGAGTTAAGAAAGAATTAATGACAGTTGATGATGGTGACGGTATAAAAGACGAAAAAGAAATAAATAAAGAGGATATTGGTCGTATAAGAGTTAAGAAAGATTTAATGATAAATGAAGATGATGGTACAGAAAATATAAAGGATGAAAAAGAATCAAAAGATCTTATTGGTCGTATAAGAATTAAGAAAAATTTGATGGCAGTTGAAGTTGATACAAAAAATATAAACGATGAAAAAGAAGTAAAAAAAGAGATTATTGGTCGTATAAGAGTTAAGAAAGATCTAATGGAAGTTGATGGTGATGATGCAACAGATGAGAAAGATAAAGAAATAAAGAGAGAGATTGTTGGTCGTATAAGAGTTAAGAAGGATCTAATGGAAGTTGATGATTCCAGAAGTAAGAAATTAAAGGAAGTGGTTGAACAAAGTGAAGACGAAGAAACACGTGTAAATGAGGAAAGTAATGATGAAGAAAATGAGGAAAAAAATGTGGAAAGGGGCAAGAAACATTCCAAGAAAAGGGGATGTAAAGAAGAGGAGAAAAATAAGAAGGGTAAACAAACTGACGAGAGGGTACTAAGGAAAAGAAATAAACAAAATAAAGAGGAAGAGGATACAAAAAAAAGAGTAAAAAGACATAAGGGGAGACAAAGGGAAAATGAGAAGGAAAAATCTCTGGAAAAAACAAGATCGCCTAGAAAACGAAGGAATAGAAAAGCTGATGAAGATGAGGATGAGGATGTTCTTTTGGGACTTGTTGAAGAGAGTTCAGAAAGTTCAGAAGAAGAAGACACTGATCAAGAAATGAAAAGACGAGAGGCTGACAGAGAGTCGGTAAAAAAGAGGGAAGGGAGGGACTCGAAAAAAATGAACAAAGTATCTAAGGATGAGGATGATGATGACGACTTGAGTAAAACTAAAAAGAGAAAAATTTCAGATAGAAGAAATAGTAAAAAAGTAGATACAGACAATGAGGAAAACATTACTGAAGAACAGGAAGAAGAAGCAAACAAGGAGAAGCATACAAAATCCAGCAGGAATCAGAAAAAGAAAGAAAGTGTTGATGAAGAAAACCGGGAAAATAAAAATGCATTAGCATCATTGTTAGCATCTGATTCAGACAAAGATGAAACACATGATATGACACATGCTGAGAAAGAGACAAAAGATGATAGCAAAATGATTGTTAGTGAAACCAGTTCAGGGGAAAGTGCTGTTGAAACCAAAAAAAGAACTCTCACATCTTCAGCATCAGAAACTGAAAAGAAAGAAAAAAAAATGAAGAAAAAATCCAAAGATGGTAAATCACAGACAAAGAATGACAACCAAAAAGCAAAAGCTGCACTCTTGGAAAGTGAAAGTGAAGATGATCTTGAAGACAAGCCCAAGCCTCGTTGTAAAAAGAAAAACTATAAAATATCTTCTGCCGATAATGATAAAAATGCAAAACGACAACATTTAAGAAACATTTGGAATGCACTTACTGATGAAGAAAGAGAAATACTGAAAGAAAAGCAGCTGAATGGAAAATGTCAGGTGGACCTTAAGGAGATTGGTCAAGCAATAAAAGAAAAAATTGAGGAAGATGATTATGTGTACGTGTCTGATTTCCCAGAGCTTTACTCAAATATTGGACATGTATCAGACAGTGATAACTGTGATGCAGATGAAGAAGAATCTGACAAGGAATTTACAAAACTAATGAGGTAAGTATTATTTTTACCTTTGGTTATTTGTAGTATATATTCTTAAACAAAATGGGAATTGACACAGTTGCTTTTTGCTGCGGTTGGAGGCAGTGGAGATGTCCTGTCTAAGGGCAATGTGTGGTGTAAATATTATGCAGAAAATTCGGAGTGTGGAAATTAGGAGATGGTGTGGAGTTAATAAAAGTATTAGTCAGGGATGAAGAGGGGTTGTTGAGGTGGTTTGGTCATTTAGAGAGAATGGATCAAAGTAGAATGACATGGAGAGCGTATAAATCTGTAGGGGAAGGAAGGCGGGGTAGAGGTCGTCCTCGAAAAGGTAGGAGGGAGGGGGTAAAGGAGGTTTTGTGGGCAAGGGGCTTGGACTTCCAGCAAGCGTGCGTGAGCGTATTAGATAGGAGTGAATGGAGATGAATGGTATTTGGGACCTGACGATCTGTTGGAGTGTGAGCAGGGTAATATATAGTGAAGGGATTCAGGGAAACCGGTTATTTTTATATAGCTGGACTCGTGTCCTGGAAATGGGAAGTACAATGCCTGCAATCTAAAGGAGGGGTTCGGGATATTAGCAGTTTGGAGGGATATGTTGTGTATCTTTATAGGTATATGCTTCTAAGCTGTTGTGTTCTGAGCACCTCTGCAAAAACAGTGATTATGTGTGAGTGAGGTGAAAGTGTTGAATGATGATGAAAGTATTTTTTGGGGGGATTTTCTTTCTTTTTTGGGTCACCCTGCCTTGATGGGAGACGGCCAACCTGTTAAAAAAAAAAATTATTATTATTATAATACATTTTTTTTAACAAGTCGGCCGTCTCCCACCGAGGCAGGGTGACCCAAAAAGAAAGAAAATCTCCAGAAAGAAAATAGCTTTCATCATCATTCAACAATTTCACCTCATTCACACATAATCACTGTTTTTGCAGAGGTGCTCAGAACACAACAGCTTAGAAGTATATATGTATGAAGATTCACAACATATCCCTCCAAACTGCCAATATCCCGAACCCCTCCTTTAGAGTGTAGGCATTGTACTTCCCATTTCCAGGACTCAAACCTGGCGGCTATATATAAATAACTGGTTTCCCTGAATCCCATCACTAAATATTACTCTGCTCACACTCCAACAGCTCGTCAGGTCCCAAATACCATTCGTCTCCATTCATGCCTATTGAACACGCTCATGCACGCCTGCAGCAGGCCTGTTGGCCCATGCTAGGCAGGTCCTTCACAATCCATCCTACTAACAGAATATTTGCTCAACTCAGTTTTCAATGCTACCCAAGGAATAAGCTCTGATAATTCTATTTACTCATGTGCAGGTCCCACTCACATCCAACCCTCTCGCTCGTGTAATTATCCAATACAAATTCGAAACTCCCCAAGGTTTCAGCCTCAATAACATCACTAGGCAGTGTGTTCCACTCATCAATATAAGAAAGGAGAAACACTGCAGCAGGCCTGTTGGCCCACTAACAGAATAAACGCTACCCAAGTAATAAGCTTCAATAGTCCTATTTACTCACGTGTAAGTCCCACTCAAATCCAACCCCTCTCACTCGTGTATTTATCCAACCTTAATTTGAAACTACACAAGGTTTTGGCTTCGATACAACCTTGGGTAGTTTTAAAAAGAGATTGGACAAATATATGAGTGGGAGGGGATGGGTATGATTGGTGTCATGGGTATATAACAACATTAGAAAGGAAGAACACTGCAATAGGCCTGTTGGCCCAAACTAGGCAGGTCCTTCTCAGATCCAGCCCACTAACAGAATAAACGTACCCAAGCAATAAATGTTGACAATTCTATTTACTCATCTTGACTGTGTGGTAATGGAGTTACAGGAAGCTGACATCAAAGAAATGCTGAACACTGACAATGATGCATCTATTGTGCATTCCTTGAGTGATGGTGAAATTAGAATTTTGATATATAAATAAGCTGTAGAGTTGATATTAGCATCATATTGAAGTATTTTGTCATGCCTCCCAAGAGCGGGAATTCCTTTGGGAATGGATTAATGCATTTCAATTAATTTAAAAAAGGAAAAGTGACTCAGCATATAAAACAAATCGGGATACGAATGAGGTCACGGAATGGATTAAATTCATAAGCCAAGGTTCCACTGTATATACATTGGTGTTTTCCCCCCCACTTTGAACCTTGTTTTCGATCAATTCCATTGCTCCAGTGGACCAAACTCATTGCTGTTTCTCTAGAACTCCATTTGTTTCCATCATGTTTCTTGAGTACAAAAAAAAACCACCCATTTACCGATTTTCAACTACCCAATAAAATGGACAGAATTGGCAATTTGGCCAATTTCACACAAATTTCAAAAGATTTCCTATTTCAAAATAGGGTCCACAATAAACAATGCAGGCATTCCTGGCACTAAATAACATTTTCTCTGTTCACTAGTCACATCCAGGCCCCCCCCCTTATATTGCCCTTTCTTTCCATTTTTAATTTCTATTCACACAAAAAAAAAGGAGATTTACTGTTATGTAGGGCTACTGCATTATTATATAATTGTGTAAATAATGTCAACTCATTCGTGACTGTGTATTAGACTGGCCAGTCGGGCACGTATCAGACGGTGTCATTTGTTTACCCCGTGAACATCTGCTACTTTGAGCTCAGTTTTTAAGGTACTTTTCATCGTGAAACCAATCAAAATCATCTCTGTTTCTGTAATATTTCTTCCAGTCTATCAAATGGGGAAACCCAAAAGAAGGAGGAATGCAACCAAAAAAATACTATACGAAAATACACCCCAAATTCGGCATTTTAATCCAAAAAACGCAGTATTCTTTTTTTCTTGTGCACTGCGTGCTGCAGGATTTTTTTTTATACTACACACAGACCCTTCTCTTACATGTAGATCTACCAGCTTTCTCTACTAGATTTGAAGCTGCTAGAATTTTGGGGTATTAATACGTCACCAACACTGGCTTGTAAGCTGTACCTATACGTCACGACAGTGAAAGGGTTAAACTCACAGGACATGCTAGATTTAAAGGAAATTCTGAAGGTACACTGTATTTCACTGTTCTTGAACTCTTTCAGGGTCCATACCCTTGATCTGAAAATTGCTCTTAGGGTCAAGAATTTAAAAAAAAAAAACGAAAAAAATTCTCATGAATGATAGAGAATCTTTTTCTGAAGGTAATGAAAGGAAGGATCAAAATTTGATGGAAAATTTGCAAAATTATGTTCTCCCAAAGTTAGTGGTCTCAATGATATTTACGCATCGGCAATTTTTCCAATGTGAAAATATGAATCCTATTTGAGGCCATTTCCATTGTTCCAGTCTATTAAACTCTTAGCTATTTCACTATTATGCCTTTCCTTCTATCAATTGAGCACAAGAAACTGCCCATTTAACTATTTCAAGTACCCAATAAAGTGATCAGAAATCAGTAGTTTTGGCCAATTTCACACAAATTAAAAAATTTCAATTTAAAAATAGAGTACAGAATAAACAATGTAGACACTCCTGGCACTAAAATAACATTTCCTCTGTTCATTAGTTACATCCTCAAGCCTCTCCTATATTACAATTGCTTTGCATTTTGATTTTTATTCACACACAAAATAGAAGATTTACTGTTACGCAGACTACTGCATATTTTAATTGTATTAATAATGTCAGTGCAATCATGAACGTGTATTAGACAACCAGTTGGACGTGTATCAGACGGTGTCTTCTGGAATGTTGGGAAAAATCAAACAGTTCCACTACTTTGAACTCAATTTCAAGCTACTTTCAGAGCTGAAACCAGTCAAAATCATCTCTATTTCTGTAATCTATCTTCTATTATATCAAATGATACCGAAAATATAATCATAAAAACCATCTGAAAATATTCTGTAAAGTTGCTATTTTAAACCAAATTCATTGTCAGTTTTTTCCCATCATGCACTGTGTGCGGCAAGATTTTTTCTTATATGGTGCACACTCACTGCATAGACCATTCTCTCGTATCTAGTCCCAAATTTACCGCTTACTGCGTATCTGAGTGAGCTGAGTTCATCACATAGTCTATGGCACAGATCCTGAGCTAAAAGCTGTAGTACTAACAGCATGAACCTTGAAAGGGTTAATTAAATCTTGAGGATGGGTTACCTTTGTACAAATTTGTGGATACTTGTGGCTTACTTTCTTAGTTTAGGTCATGAGTAAATCACATGAGTACTGTATATTCAACTTTTTTAATTAATTATTATTATTTTTAACAAATGCTTTCTTTAGTTTCAAGGTGACCAAGTACTCAAAACCTGCACCCAAAAGCAGAAAAAAGTTGGTAGAATTTGAATCTGAACAGAAGAGAATGTTGAAAAGGAGGAAAGTAAATTGAATAAAAAGTTAAAGAAAGATAAAGTTGTAAAGAAGAAAAAGGAGGGTTTATTAGATATTAATATTGATAAAGAAGAGGATGAGGAGGATGAGGATGAGGTAGAGGAAGATAATAAGAAAAAAAAGAAGAAAGAAGGGGGTATATCTCTGAATGAGAAGATGAAGAAGCAGATTCTGATGAGCAGTGATGAAGAAGTGGAAGATGATGATGGTGATGATGATGAAGATGAGAAAGTGTGTGTAAAATTTGTGATTTGTATTTTATTTTTTTCAGTAGAACATGAATATAGTAATCCAAATATTTGTGTCTAAGCTGTGCCAGGACTACTGATAATTGTAGACATCTAATCATCGTTACTGTTATCCTCAGTTCATCTTTGTTGGGATATGTTTATTTCCATTTATCCAAAAATTGATGATTAGCAGTCACCTCTATTCTGAAATGACTGTACAGCTTTTAATGTTTTAAAAATACATTGGAACCCTGGATATAGGCTGGTGCAGAAATTGGCCAATTCAGAAAACGAGCACTTTTTTCCGGCGAAATTTCCTCCCGGATTTAGGCCGTTTGCTTGGAAATCATTGGCTTAGGATGTGTCCACCCGGCCTCCAGACGTGCTACCTCTAACGTATCACAGTCATTCTCTCACGCTCTCTTGTCCAGTAAGGAGTACTCTGTGCCTTCATCCCATTGTTTTTTGTGCTATTTTCATTGTTTTTTTGTGCTTGTTTATTGTTTATTGACTGTGAAATAAGACACCATGGGGCTAAAGAAAGTTCAGAGTGCCAGCCCTTAGGTAAAGAAGGTGAGAAACACAATAGAATTCAAGAAAGAACTCGTTAGAATGAGTTGCAAAGTTTTGTGGAGAAATATCACTACCACCCTCTACAAAGGTAGAGGGTGGTTGTGATGGTGGTAATGATGGTGGTAAAGGATGGTAGTGATGGTGGTAAAGGATGGTAGTGATGGTGGTAGAGGGTGGTGGTGGTAGTGTTCTTGGTAGAGGGTGGTAGTGAGGGTGGTAGTGTGTGCTAGTGATGGTAGAGGGTGCTAGTAATTGTGGTAGAGGGTGGTAGTGATCATGGTAGAGGGTGGTAGTGATCATGGTAGAGGGTGCTAGTGATGGTGGTAAAGGATGGTAGTGGTTGATGGTAGTAGAGGGTTGTAATGGTTGTGATGGTGGTAGGTGGTAGTGGTAGTGATTAGGTAGAAGGTGGTATGTGGTGGTAGGGGGGGGAAAAATTTT